ACAGTTGTATTCTTTTATTATGAAAGTGACATATGCTCATTGCAAAAAACAAAACAAACAAAAAAAAAACTTCAAACATTACAGAAATGCCTCTCTTCCCATGGTCAACCCTGATTATATTTCTCAGAGATAATTCTTACTAAACATTTGATTCTAAGCTTTAATTTTTTTAAAAAAGCACGTAGAGCAACAATGGCACAGCACACACCTGTGGAGTGTTTCCTCCTGATCAGGCAATGTGCTTATAAGGAAACCTCGCAATAGCCCTGGGAGGCCCGGACCTCTCACCTAGCGAGGGTTGAAGAAATCTGATACACACATATACATACGCAAACGCCAAACATCTATTTTTACAGAAGTGGGATGATGTTATTCTTATTGTACAACTTGATTCTTTCATTCTTAACATACCAAGAACAATTTTATATAACTGTGCGTGCTGAACCGTTTACCATCTGCAGTGTTCAATGAAATAAAATCAGACTTAAGCAATCCCCAAATGATTTTTATTTTTTGAGATGGAGTTATTGCCCAGGCTGGAGTGTGATGGCACGATCTCGACTCACCACAACCACCACCTCCCTGGTTCAAGCAATTCTCCTGCCTCAGCCTCCCGAGTAGCTGGGATTACAGGCATGTGTCACCATGCCCAGCTATTTTTTGTATTTTTAGTAGAGATAGGGTTTCTCCATGTTGGTCAGGCTGGTCTCGAACTCCCAACCTCAGGTGATCCACCTACTTTGGCCTCCCGAAGTGCTGGGATTACAGGTGTGAGCCACAGTGCCCGGCCTGATTTTTTATTATTACAAACAATGCTGCAGTAAACTATTTTTTTTACGTCTATCTTTGTGTATTTCTGTAGGATACATTTATCGAAGTAGAAACAGTAGATCCAAAACGGGATGCGTATGAATTCATTCTCACGTTAAATAAAGAAATACCCAAAACTGAGTAATTTATAAGAAAAGAGGTTTAATTGGCTCACAGTTCTGCAGGCTGTACAGGAAGCATGGCATCATCTGCTTCTTGGGAGGCCTCAGGAAGCTTTTACTTATGGCAGAAGGAGCAGGTGTCTTACATGGCAGGAGCAGAAGGAAGAGAGTGAGGGAGGAGGTGCTGCACACTTTTAAACAGCCAGATCTCACGAGAACTTACTCACTGTCATGAGAATAGCACCAAGGGGATGATGCTAAATCATTCATGAGAAATCCACCCCCACAATCCCATGATTCAACCACCTCCCACCCGGCCCCTCCTCCAACCCTGGGGCCTACAACTCAACATGGATTTGGAAAGGATGCCGATCCAAACCATATCAACATGTAAATGAAAAAAATTTTAATACTTTCCAAACAATCTGGGTAACAGAAATGAAATGTATTTGAATGTCTCTTCTAAGTGCTGAAGGTATTTTCAAATCCGAGTCCAAATACAAGGCTGGCATCAGGACATTTGTTTCCCAGAGCTGGTTTTAGATTCTTGGTTCTGCAACTGAACGGTTATGAAACTTGGAGAAACAAAGAAGGTACCCCTTTCATCACTCCAGGCCTTGGTTTCTTCCACATGAAACAACAGCATGGTAAAATATGCTTTCTGAAGCCTGCTTTTGCTCTATCACTCCCTGATTTGATTAGTGATTTAGCTCTCTGCCTTTGTTTTCCTATTTGTAAGAAAGAATTTTATTGGCCGGGCTGGGTGGGATGGCTCACTCCTGCAATCCCAGCTCTTTGGGAGGCCGAGGCAGGTGGATAATGAGATCAGGAGTTCAAGACCAGCCTGGCCAAGATGGTGAAATCCCATCTCTACTAAAACTACAAAAGTTATGCAGGCATGGTGACAGGCACCTGTAATCCCAGCTACTCAGGAGGCTGAGGCAGGAGAATCGCTTGAACGGCAGAGGTTGCAGTAAGCTGAGATCTTGCCACTGCACTCTAGCCTGGGTGACAGAGTGAGACTCCATCTCAAAAAAAAAAAAAAAAAAAAAAAAAAAAAAAAGATTTTATTCCTTTGCCCTTCCAGGATCAATTAATCAATGCATCCATTATTAAGAAAGAACTTTCAACCTTGAAGTGCTAAGTAGCTCTGTTATTGCTTATAGAGCAAGCTGATATTGGCTGCATATGACCCAAACTGCTATGACTCTAAAATAGTTGCTAAGTCTTTATGAGAACAAGAGATACTTATTGAATCCAAAAGGCCACTCTGTCTCAGCACTCTGGCCTGTGGGGTTGATGAGAGGCAGGTGTTTGGGAAGTCTGATCAGGTATCACATCTCTCTTGGGAATCTTGCCTTGGGAACTGTATATCCCTTAACAAAGAAGGAATTATGTGGACCACATCCTCACAGAACGCAGGATGTATTACATGAAGGACTGATCCAATCTGTGTCTGTGGTGTCTGGGACAATAGCTGAGATAATAAGGGCTTCCATTGCACTTGGGTTCTCCAGTCATCCATGTGACCCTCTCAACATCTCTGATGCAATAGCCAGAGAGGGGTAGTCACCCCCATGGTTAAGATGCAGATGCAGAAATTCAGAGGGGCGTGCAGACCATCTCCTATTACAGGCAGCAGTGCGTGGTGGAGTCAGACAGTCCCGGCTCCATCCTGTTCTGCCACTCTGGGGTGTGTTACTCCCCGGCTCCTTTCTGCTGGTTCTTTTTAATGGCGGGACTCCTCTTTGGTGCCCTCGCCACTCCAGGCTTATCCAGTTGAGAAGGTGCAGCACTTTGGCATTTTAAGGAACACGTACAGGATGCAGCATGGAATTTCTCTGAATTTGGGATCCTGCCGATAGTAAGCTTTATTTTCTAAAACACAAGAAAAAAGAAAGTTAAATGACTACAGATTATCTTTAAGATTCTTGCTTCCCAATCTGTCCTCATTCATACCCTTTAGAGCTGGTTTTGAAGACAGTCCTGTGGTGAACTGTAATATCTGGGCCAGAAGAAGACAGGGATGACTTACTTGGCTACTTGGGTGGAAGGTGGATTTTTATTTTCTGGTGTCCATGGGCCTGAACTTTTAAGGAAGGATCCAGGGAGCATTGACGGTGCTCTAAGGGGCCCAAAGGCACCAAGAATTAAAAAGGCTTCTTGAAACAAGTGAATCAAAATGCAACCACCAGACGGGACTCATCCAGACAAGACTGGTAGAAAATTGAAACTTGATCAGTTTCTCCTTGATCAGTTTCTCCACCTCTCAGGTCCTTCTCCTGCACACACCTTCTCCCCTTCCTTTTAAAATCTCAGTTCTCTCCCCTCCCTGTCCCTGCCCTGTTACCACCCCAACCGCCAATTCCCTCATCTGTAGCATGACAGGGAGGAGAGTAAATGGATTGGCTTGGGCACTTTCAAACATCGAGGGCCAATGGCTGTTCTTTCTTTGGTTCCACATCTCCCTTTTCCAATATTCTTTTTCCTTCCAGGGACCATGTGTTTGAATTTTAAAAGAGCGGTGGATATCCATGAACACAAATAAGTCAGGAATGGTGGCAGTGGGAAGTAAGGGAATTTTCTGATCTTCCAGATAATCGTGAAGATGGATACTGAATATTTTTCTGTAGCATCTAGGGGTTGTTATCAATTAGAAAGGGGAGGCAGAACCAGCACAAGAGAAATGCAGTTGCCCCCTTCTCATGCAATGAGTCCGCAGTCTAGAAAGGCAGTCAGGATAAACTGCAGCCAGCAACACCCAGGCACAGCTCCTGGATCTGCTCACAGGCAAAAACTCTTCTTGGCTTCTGAATTAATGCCTGGATCTTTGGGTCAGAGTAGTGTTTGGTAATTTTCAGAAAAGTTCAGAAGCTTCTGTTGACCACTTGGCCCCTGTGTGGATCTTCAGCAGAGAAAATGTACTATAGTTACCAGATTGTTGGACTGCGGCCCTGAAATCTACTTCTTTTCCACCATGCAAACTCCCATCCAGTCTTCAAAACCCAAGCCAAACACTACTTTCTTTGAGACACCATCCGGACCTCCTTCATATAGGTTTACTCCATTCTACCTGTGTGATCCTAAGGCCCTGTGTTCATATCTCAGGGCACGCACACTATTGTAAGTAGCATGTAACATGCCTGCTTCATCCACTTTTCTGTCAGCTTCTTAAACTCAGGCTGAGGCCATTTTTGTAGCTCTTAAATTTAGCACAGTATCCAGCACCCAGTAGATGCTCAATAAATAGAAAGTGAATGAATGTGTGCTTGCTCTGCCACTAACTAGTTGTGTATCTTAGACAACTCACTCACTCATCCTCACTGGGATTACTCATTTAGGGTAATGAGTAATAGGGATAGCACAATTCGTATGACCAAAGGGATTATTATGTAGTGCAGAAGAGATAAGACATATTCTTAACATAGATATGCTACATAATCAAAAACTTCCCAGAGCTGGAAGAAATTTGGAAATCATCTAATACAATAGTTTTCAGAAATCTGAAGACAAGGAACTGTTTCTTCAGGAAAGCTTACAGGAAAGATTGGACTAATCTTTTTTCATAAAAGATAAACGTGAGCTTCTCCAGTTGAAGACCCAGCATACTCTCTCCTTCCTCCCCTCTCCTTTCACCTCCATCCCAGGGGTGCAAGAAGCACAGTTTGAAAACCAGCCTTTTACTTTAGTGAGAATAAGCTGAAGTCCAGAGAAGGCAGTGAATTTCCCAAGGTCATAAGACTAGTTAGAAATAAAAGTAGACCACGGAAGGAATTAACATCATGAAGACCATAGTGATATTCAGGACAATAGCTAGTCCTTGAAAAAACGTAACATGCTCAGTGCATACCCATATATTATGGTTTGTTTTTTGTTGTTTTTCTTTGAGACAGGGTCTCGCTCTGTCTCCCAGGCTGGTGTGCAGTGGTGCAACCATAGCTCATTGTAACCCTGAACTCCTAGGCTCAAGTGATCCTCCTGCCTTGGCCTTCTGAAGTGCTGGGATTGCAAATGTGAGCCACCATGCCCAGCACCAAACATTATGTTTAATTCTTGCAATACTCTATGAGGAAGCTACGGCTATGACAGTTTCTGAGATGAGGAAACTGAAGCTTTAAAAAATGGGCTTGTATAACATTCCATGGTTAGTTGTAGTAGAAGTAAAAGTAACTAGTAACTTTATCAAGCACCTAATATGTGCCAGTCACCTTTGTAAGCACGTTACACATATTATCTCATTTAATTTTCCCACAACCAGCACCATCATTAGCCATAATTTTACAGAAAAGAACACCGCACAAATTGGTTGAAGGAGCTCGTTTGGACCCTGCACCCATCTGATTTCATGCCACCTCGTGCTGATCTGAGGTCCTGAACCCAGGTGCTCTGTCTCTTAGCCCAGTGCCTTCTCCAGATGCTACTTGATATGAAAGAATCCTAAAAGAGTTTTGAAGGAGCATTCTGTTATTTGCACTTGGTGGAAGAAGGGGGAGCCTTATTAGTATTCAGGGTAGTTTTCAGACTCTGTCTAAGACTTTGATCTTGTTCCATCTGGTACTGATTTGCCCTGTTTAGGGCTGGTCAGTACGACTCACCTCCTTCTGGATGGACCGGGCGAGAAACAAGGAGACCTCCTCCAGGCTCTGGGGCTTCAGGCCATTCACCGCCAAAAGATGATCTCCGTGGCAAAATATGCATCCCAGACGTGGGGGGCCTTCCCACTGAGCCACACTGCAGTGGGAATACAACATCCAACACCAGTGTGAGGCTGAGCTTGCCAAGAAGGCAGGGCACGCGTGGAGTCTACAGGGTCTCCTGACTCTAGGTCACATGGCACCACCTCTGAAGTAGACTATCTCCTGTTTGGAATATTGTTTCCTCTATCTAGTATAGGAGCCTAACCCTTCCTCCAAAGCCCAGCTCAAATTACATTGCCCTTACAAAGCCCCATAAAGTCCTAGATTCCATTCCTCTGCTATAATTCATCTCCCCTACCCTGGACTTCTATTATATTGTGTGACTACCTGATTTGTTACATTTTTAAATAAAATGCATTTTACATTTACTTGTTTGTGTGGCTGTCTTTTTTCACCAGGCTACATGACCCCAGAAGTATGATGACACCTTTTTGTTGTTTGTTTTTTAATTTTTAAAACCCCATGGTTCCAGGTAAAGAAAGAGTGCTCAGGATTTGTTGGAAGTAAGGACATAATGATTACACAATGAATATCTAATGAACAAATAAATGAATTAAAGAATGAAGCAATTCAGTTACAGAGGAGCCCACAGTTTTGGTCAAGTGTTTATTGAGCCTTAGATTGTGGAATATTTGGAAAAATGGTAAATGTGGTTCCTCTCTTCTTAGAACTTATAAGACAACTAATGTGTAGTGTTTACATTAAAGAGCTTTCTTCCCTCATAAAGATGTAATCTTCCATCAAAATAAATTACAAAGTCTGTAAAAAAAATGCCATATCAAATAGGCAGAGATTACTCTAAGAAAATTCTCTGCCACACAGTCTTTTGTGTCTGTGTCTGTGTCTGTGAGTAGCAGGGTTTTTTTTTTTTTGTTTTGTTTTTTTTTACCTCTTGTCTGGAAGTCTTAGAACCTGATATACTTTCTTCTTACAGACCTTCTATTCTTTTCTTTTTTGAGACAGTCTTACTCTCTTGCCCAGGCTGCAGTGCAGTGGTGCGATCCTGGCTTGCTGCAATCTACACCTCTCGGGTTCAAGAGATTCTCTTGCCTCTGCTTCTTGAGTAGCTGGGATTACAGGTGCGCACCACCAGACCCAGCTAATTTTTTTAAAATTTTTAGTAGAGACGGGGTTTCACCATGTTGGCCAGGATGGTCTCAATCTCCTGACCTGGTGATCTCCCCGCCTCAGCCTCCCAAAGTGCTGGAATTAGAGGTATGAGCCACCATGCCCAGCCTAGACCTTTGATTCTTGTTGACTTTGCTAATTTCACTCATTCATCAAATCCTCATTGTACTGTGATTGGAAATGATGTCCTTGGGCCCTGTGTATCCCTGCCCATTCTTCCTCCCTTTGAGAAGCCAGAAATGTGTTGCTTCCTGAACTTTTGGGTCCTGTTATTCCTCTCCCTCAACCCCCGGCTAACTTTCTTACACAATACCCTGATTTCTGCCACAATCTAAGACTTTTTTGTTACAACAGCAAGACAACAGTCAGGGTTGCCAAATACAGTGTTTCAAAATGTCATTGTTCCTTTTATAGCTTCCCAGCCCCATTTATAATCCACAACAGTCAAATCTCCAACCTACCATATCCGTCCTGCGGCTTCAGTGAGAGCAAGATAGTTTATGACATCAGGAGGAGAAAGGAAAATGTTCAGTTCCTCCACTTGGCTTTCATCAGGGATGTTACTACGAACAAGACATTTGTAAAAGTCACATCAGGCACCTGGCCCGGGCTCTCAGCTGTACTTTCTGAGCACATTTGTGGCCTCTATTTCTGAGATGATATTGTCCAGGTAAAGGCTGTCCAAAACATTTGGAGAATAATATAAATTTACTGAAGAATCCTCTTGGGATGTGGTAGTGGATGGTAGGTTACAGGAATGGAGGCAAAAATGGACTCAATTGGTTATATAACCGTCCACATCAGGCCAGTCTGGAAATGATTCCGTAGAAGTTATGGCAAAGAGTTAAAATTACAACTATTGTACCAAATGCTCTTGGTATCACTTAAGTACTAAATAACCCATTCCTGATCTATAAGGAAGCCTCATGCAACTTGCATGCCTATAATTATACTCATGTAAAAACTGAGTGACAGACTACTCAGATCCACGTGGATCCCAAGTCCTGGGACCTGAAAGACTAGCCAAGGGATAATTTTTAAAAATAGCTGAAAATGCCACCCCAGCCCCGGGGACCACTTTACTCCAGCCCAGCTCTATCATTCCCTTTCCTTGGCCACAATATCAGTGACAGGGAGAAGATGGTCAGGTTCTTGGCTGACTTGGAGATTTTTAGGAACTGCTTTAAATTTTAATTCTAAGTAAAAAATAGTGAGAGGGAGCCTGCCTTGCTCTTAGGGCCCATAAAGTTTTAGAAATTAGAGCTTTACTTGATGAGTATAGACAATTGCACAATAGTTAGTGAGGCCGACCCCTTTTTGTCATTTGTGTTCTGTGCTTCAGTATTGGCAGGGGGAAGACACGAATCAACCCCTGAGCCTTGTTCTTGCAGGTGGAGGCTCCCATCCTGGGTCTCTGGAAGGGTCTGGGGTTCCTCTTTGCTGCTATCCACAGACTCACGGGGTGTCTCTTTGAAAAAACTAGAGTATAAGAAGTTAAAACAAACCCAATTTTAGCATGTGTTTCTGCAGTGTTCCCCTGTGTGTGTCAGATTTAAGTCACTAACAGACATGTGAAGACTAACAAGGTCTTGAAGTATGTCCAACTATCAGAATCACAGCCACGGTTAGAATCAAATCCAACAAAACTTCCTTCTAAAAATGGATATGGAATCAAAATTACTCTTTACAGGGATTAAAGGACAGAAGTGAGAGTATGAGAGACATAAACACAAAGTAGAAAATAACTTCCTCGGGAGATGGAAAAGGTCCTGAGGTTGTCACCAGTGGTTTTCAGTGGGTGGAGAAACGACTCCCTCGTTTTTGTGTGTTCAGATGCCTGAATGACATGTGGAATCTGGGCTGTGGTCATGTTTTGCATCAGTTTATGAACTATTAAAATGAACTGATGGTCACTGTCCCATAACAGCAGATGAAAAAAAATCAAATTTTTAAATGGCACTTTTACTTACCAGGATTTCATTGACATATAATGACCCTCGATTCTTCCAGAGACCTGGTCTGGACCATCAGTTTCAATGCATTCACCAGAATCACTGGAAGCAATGACATTATCCAACTGTAGATAAGAGGAGTACATGTAAGAATCCTATCTTACCAATAAGTCAGGTACCTTCTTATTTCTAGTGTTTATAGCTCTGAGCTCTGATGTAGTACGTACACCTTCCAGTGGATGAACATGGTTCACATTTGGGAAATAATCAACCAACCTTACCTCCAAGAGACTGAATCAGCAAAGCTTCTGGCAGACTCAAAGTCAATTTCTTCTCCTGGATCCCTCAGGCTCCTGACACAAGTGTTATTTCTATTGAACTAAATTGCTATTTACCTTTTTGTTTCACCATTAGGCACTTAAGAACATGAAAGCTTTCCCCCAGTCAGTTCTACTATAGAATTATGGCACTTGGTTGGATAGAATTATGGCACTTTGACACAGTGTGAAGCTGGTCTCAGGCTACTATGCTCACAGGCAGCCCAAGTGGCTTCAGGGACACTACAGTGGTCTAGAAAAATACTGCCTTTAGAAGGCTCTCAATAGCCCCCTTAGAACAAGAGAGTCACTTGTGGCAATGATTGCTCAAAAACCCTAAGGCCTACCTAAGTTCATCGTTAACCCATGATCAAAACCTTCCTTCCAATCAAGCCAGTCTTCCCACTGGCCCCCTGCAAATGGTGCTCTTCCATCCCCATGTTTATGCTGTCTTCCTCACCTAGAGTGTCACCTTTCCTTTCTGCCTATTGAAATCGTGTTCAGGCCTGGCTGGAGTCCCACAGCCCCCTCTGATCATCTCAGCTACTGCAGAGTTCTCCTTTCTCTCAATCTCCATTGTATAATTTTGTACTTTTTTTTTTTTTTTTTTTTCTTTTTAGGTTTTATTCTTTTTTTTTTTTTTTTTTTTTTTGGTCTTTTTAGGTTAGTTTTGTTTGCTTTACTAGACTTTGGCTGTCATAAAGTACCTAGCAAATGCCAGGCCTATAACAGATGCTCAATACACATCTGATTGTTTGGCTATCATAAAAGACTGCATCCCAGGAAACACAAATATGAAAATACTTTGGTGAAAGAAGAACTCTGTGCTCAAATGAGATTGGGAAATGCCATGTGTTGTATCTGACTTGACCATTTACAATGTACCACTGCATACTAAATGCTCTGGGAATTCTGCTAAGAAGCTTGTTTAACTTATTTTAACTGGATGTTTCCAGAACTTATTTGACCTAGAATGTTTCTTTTATATAAACATATGTCACCATCTTACAAAAAAACCCCAGTTTGGGAAATGATACAGCATTCCCACCCTCCATTCTGTCTTCTTATCTTCCACTTCCATTCTCTTCCCTCTGCAGCCTATGGCAGATATAGCTGCTGGGTTATAGTATATTATAGTAATGGAGGATAATTATATATATTACAGTAATGGAGGATAATTCGGGTTTTGACACTTCCCAACTCAGAAGCCATCACTTCCCCTATGCTGTCTACAGAATGAAGTCAACTTGGAATTCAAGACCCATCTTGGGCTGGCTCTTTTCTTCTGTTCATCTCCCACTATGCCTTCCATGCACTCTAGCCCACTGAGCTATTCCCCATACACACATCAAATGACGTGTCATCCTGGAAGCCTTCCTTGACTCTAGTAGAGAGAAAAAAAATCTGTCCTTTTCCTATTGCTTTTGGAGCATGTTGACCATGTCTTTTGTGCAGAATTATCCTGTGATAACTGACAAGACTGTGTGCTCTGTGAAGGCAAGGTGATGTCAGGAGCATTAGTTTAGCCACCATGCCCTGTACAGTACAGTGACTACTGCTCAGAAGGCATTCAGTAAGGACTTCCAACTGATCCATAGACTGATCGATACACAGCACACAACTGATCACCCAAGGACCTTGGCTCACATTATTCTTTCTGCTAAGAATGCAGAACAGAAAGACTCCTCAAGTCAATCCCCCACGTCCAAATTGTACTCATAATGTATAGTCAAATGTCATCTCATCCCTGAAATTTTCCTGATTTTTTTGTTTGAAAGTCATCTCCTCTTCCCAATGCTGATGCACCCCTGGTATTTTATAAGCATCTCTCTTTAGCATAGAACCCTTCTCTCTTGTATTACCACTGGCTCCTAGTCAAGTGTCAGCGCCATAGGCTCATCATCTGTATTTGATTTATCTCTGTGTTCCCACTGACCCTCGCCTAGTGTTGCACAAAAAGTGCATGGCAGGGGTTCAGTAAGTATTTGTTAAAGGATCAAATGATGAATGGACAAGAAGGGGTTACCTCTAAAAGAACACTTCGAGGAGTAAGATAATGACTCTCTTCCTCCGTATCTTGAGTGGTTTCTGATGACAAATCTTGCAGATGAGCTTGCCTAAGTCCTGGAGAACTTTTTTCCATTAAATGCTGAAGAAAAGAGACAAAAATGCTTTGCTTTTTCTTTGCAAGAGATGGAATTAAATCACATGCATTCTGGAAAAGCCATAATAAATTAGTTAGGTTAAAAAAGACCACAGGGTCTTCCAGGGTTATATCTGAAAGCTCCCACAAGTCGAACTTGCCTCTTGAGTCTGGGTCAACACTGAGGATGAAAAAATATAAGCCCGTCACTCAGGCTTTTTTTCTCTATCTCTTGGAACAGTCACTCAGAACAAGTGGTTTCCTTCTGTGGGTGATTTTCTAAGTCACTAAACTCTGGAGTCCCCATCCTCACATTTTTCCTGTTATCATCCAATGCCATCTGAGAATGTAGTTAACCCAGAGTCACGGCGTTGCGCCTTCTCTCCTGCTCCATATTTTTCTTTTGCGTTCTGCTCACACACTTCCACCATTTCCATAGCAATGTAATTTGGCTGTGTTGATTATGTGATAGTGTGAATTATAGGCTTCCAGATGATCTAGATTCAACCACTATTGTCTTCCCTTCCCCACAGATATATAATATTCTACTAAAGTACATTCTTTGCATGGCAGAAAAATTCCAAGAACAATGCCTCAGAGCAGGGAGTTTGGAAAAGACCCTGAATGTTCTCTAGAAAGAAGGCACGTTTTAAAAAATTAGGTATGTTTAAGTTCTGTCCACATTTTAAGATCCAAGTTCATGGAGCCAGATCATGGTGAGCTGGGGGAAAAGGAAGATTCCCCACTTAATTTAACCAACAGCAACACCACCACCAAGCAAGGCAAATAGTACTCTTAACTTGAGCTGGTTTAAAAATTACTGGATCTATAGTGTGAAAAGGCAAAATGACCAATAATGTTATCTCTAGGGGGAAGGAGATATCATGAGTGGAAAGCAACAGGTACATACTGAAAAGAGTGAGGCTTCCTAACTGCTGCATACCACCATTTCTACTCACTAAAGGAAGAACTGAGGGGAGGTGTTTGGCATGGTGAATTTGATATGCTATGAAAAGCTTTCAAAATAGTTGGAGAGTTACCAACTAGATAACATAAGGGATGGGACTCATTAGATGGGCTTGGTAATACATGGACAGGGCAAAGTCAATGGCTAAGTCTCTAAGGAACAAAATAGTATCCATGACAGAGATGAAACCAGTTGGCATGTTTATGACTCATATCCCAAGCTGGGAACATTACAAATCCAAAAAAGCTGAAGGTCCAATTATGAGTCACTTTCAAGAAGCAGGTACATTATATTTTAGGTCCTCAAATGGATTTCATTAAAAATGAGGATGAAGTGATAGACAGCTATAATGAATGGGAAGCAAGATTGAAGATTGATCAGGGTAAAGGGAGGAAATTAACAAGAAACTTGGCCTTTGCCTGAGGAGTACAGACAGAATGGGCAGAAATCAGGTGGTGGTCGGGAAATCTTTTGGCAGAGGGATCTGTGCCCTCTGTGTGAAAGAAAGGAAGAAGTTGCCAGCCAGGTTTTGGTTTAGCAAAGGGATCTTACCCTAGCCATACCCAAAGCATATAAAGAGCATCCAAAATGGATGAATACACTGAGAGGTATTCAGGGCAAGCCATGAGGCTCATGTGTGATATGGGATAAACATCAGGGCTAAGAATCATCCTTATAGTACATCAGGCTTTGAGGAAGGTGGGCATGGTTAAATGCAATTGCTAATTGGTAAGATTCCGAAGCATTAGCTGACTCCCAGGTGTGGTGTCCTGAGAAAGAAGTGAGCCCCATTACCACATCTTGGAGACCGTTTCTTGGCGAGCTGGAGCCAATAGGCTCTGATGTGCTGGAAGGGCCAAGGAGAAGGCTGGGGTAGAAGAGAGTTCTTTTATTACCCGGTGAGAGTTCCTCCTGCTCACAGAAAAGGAATCAGTCAGGGCACAGTTGATCTCTGTCTGAAATAAATTTTCACTCTAGAAATGGGCTCCTTGCCTCCTGTCTTTCCCCACAGCGATCTAACATTCCTGCGGCTGGCCTGCCAGCATTATCTCACCAAGATGAGGGCTGAACCTGTCTCTCTCCTGTCTCCAAACCCTTGAGGACATTTAGCCTGACCCTCAAAGATGACCAGCGTTGCCCTCAACCTATGTTCTCGACTGTCTCTTTCTGACGCCCTCTGCCCCAGTTCCCTTTTCTCTAATCATTTCCATCTACTTGAAGACATGCCTTGATTTCTCCTTTTCTTTGGCTTTTGCCGTAAGCATGGAACAACCTAGAAAACATGTCACAGAAGATACCGAGGGGCCAAAGTTCCATCTATAAAGGTCCACCTTGAAAAAGGACTTGGGGACATTACTAGAGGCCCTTATGAAATAAATTAAAACCTTAAAACTACTAACCACTCACATGAAAGAGACATTCTATTAAAAATGCAAGATAGATGAAAAACATTTTTATAGAAACTGCCCTAGACTTAGTCATTCAGAAGGAAGCTTGTTATGCACTTTGAATAACAATGATGCAAAAATACTGTATTCTAAGCTACTACTTAAAAATGCCACAGTTAACTTTTCCTTTCTCTACCACAATAATAAAAATTCGAAGTGTCTGTATTTCAGCTCTCTCGCAAAACACAAAAGAATTTTTTTCCTATTGTTAATCATAAAAAGTAATAAGGATGTACATTTTCTCACTTATTTATTCCTTGCATTAATGCCAGTTGCTAAGGAGGCAGAAGACAGCTACCATTGTTTTCTGTTGAAAGAGGGTTGTGTTCAGGTGCCCTGTTATATTATTAGTGATGTGGAGTCACCTCTGTGTTCTGATGTGTTGCTTTTATATCCCGGCATAATGATGACATGATGGAGACCCAGTCTTTAATCTTCTCCCTGTTGATAGGAATAAACTTTCAGCTGACATGTGGCAACAATAGTGCCTACACTCCTTTTGAACCAGGGAAGGATTCTTTTATGCAGGTTAGAATGGCAGTGAAAGCAGGTACCAGCAAAATAAGGATTTTTCCTAAGTAGCTTAAATGGCTTCACCACCTCCACATTTGCACACTAAAATTAATGTTCAGCCACCTCTGCAAGGAAAGCTCAGAGAAAGGGAAGAAAAGTAGAAAATAATGGTAGTAATCACAGGGTTTGGGGCTTTCGGCTTTGACACTGATATCCTCTGTGTTCTCAAGCGAGCCCCCTAACCTGTCAGTGCCATTTTTGTGTAACTCTGCAGGTATGCCTTCCCTTAGGAGCGCATGCATTGATGAAGAATGTGCTTGAATGAATTTGTATAGTCACATCTTTTTTTATGGGATCACAGGACAACTTAAAGCTTTGCTCAATTTGAAGCAGATCAGCGTTTTCATATGTTGGTTTTGGCATTGCCCCCCTCCTCTGCACAGTCTCCCCCACACCAGCTTTGCCTCTACCTCAAGCAGATAATCATCCATGAAGAGTCCACTAGGCACCTTTGCTAGGACTAGAGAAGCCCCTCTTAAAAACTGCATGCTTCTTAGAGGGCAAGCCTAGTTCCTACCTAATATACGCAGCTTGCTTGTGTAGATGTTTGTGTATTGGGTTCTTTTACATGGAATGCCTCTGGGGTGATGGTGATTGTTAATGGTTGAAATGCACCCTCCCCATCCAGTTTGCGTGTTTCAGTTCCATATCCCAATACCTCAGAATGTGACCTTATTTGGAAAGAGGGTCATTGCAGATGTAATTAGTCAAGATGAGGATGTCCTGATATAGAGTGGGCTCCGAATCCAATTATCACTGGTGTTCTTATAAAAAGGGGAAATTTGGACACAGAGCTAGGCATATAGGAATAACACCATGTGAAGACTGGAGTTTTGTTGCCACAAGCCAAGGGAACTACCAACAGTTAGGAGAGACCCCTGGAACAGATCCTTCCCTAGTGTCTTCAGAGAGAGCATGGTTCTACCAATACTTTGATTTCGGACTCCTCATCCCTAGAACAATGAGACAATAAATTTCTGTTGTTCCAAGATACCCAGGATGTGGTTACAGCAGCCCTAGGAAACTAGCTCAGTAACTTTTCAAGATATTTTATCAAATAACGGAGATTGCCAAGATGGTGTACAAGGCTGTAGCATGGGTTCAGAACATGTTCATGGGGATAAAATGTTTTGTTTCTGGCTTGTTTTTGTTTTGCATGCGGTAGATGCTCTGTGTTATCTTACTTCTCTCACCTGTCATAGCCAATGAGGAAATATTCCCTGTTAGTGGTTCTGATGGACATGACCTCTTCAGGGTGGCATTTAAACATCTTCTGCACAGATTGCATCTTTTCCTGGCTACTTATGCCAACTTCTACACTCGAATTTCTATTAGATACAGACACAAAGTATTAAACCAGGATAAATACAGAAATAGAAAACTGACATATTTTATATTGGGATTCGAATGGAATAAAACTTTAGATGTACTTGATCCACGTTTTGAAGATTGCCCAATAATTGTAGAAGGTAAGTTTGGATTTTTGATCTGGTTAATTAATAGTTAAAATTATTTTGTTTAGCCTGAGATTCAAAAATTTCTATTTTGGTTGAATTCTTGATTGCACGAGTCATCTTTTTCAATTTTGGGGTACATATTTATTAAAGAGAAGGCCAAAAAAAAAGCTGATCTAAATATTTTTTAAAAATCTATCTTGACTTTATAAAATGATAATTTCATCTGCTCCCTCTCATCCACAAATTACTTGAATCAAACTCCTTAACTGAATGCCTATTAAAGACTTACCAAATATAACATACATTATGAAACAAATACTCAACTATCTTTTACTCAAAGTGCTCACTATTTTAGCTGCTATTCAATCACAAATATTATAACAAGCTTGAAGCCTTTGGTTCCTTTGGTCGATTATGTAAATTTCAATTTGCATGCAACTTGTCACTGTTTGACTTTATAGTATTTGTTGTTATAAAAGTTTCTTGTTCGATACACACTGATCAATTTCAATGGCACCTCGCTGAATATGGTCTTTATAATAGGAAAGACTAAAGCTCTTTTCCCCACTCTTTGACAGGATAAAAAACCGCTTTTTCCAAGAGGTCTGAAAAATAAAAAGATTTTATGTCTCAGTTAAATCTCAGAGGAAAAGAAGGAATTTTTAAAAATGCTCATGAGGCTGGTGGGAGGCTTGTTAATCATAGCAAATACTCACCACAGAGAAGAACAGCTGAGAAGGTGGTGATTTAATAAAGTAATCTTGTTTGCAGACTTCATTTTCATAATAAAATGTAAATTGTTTGCCTAACAAAAGTGAACAGAACTCAGTTTGTTCCTCATAAATTTCTGAAAAGAACTGCCTCATTTGGAAAACACTATTTATCTCCGGAAAGGCCTTCAGATTATTCAGTAGTTATGGAAAAGAACACTTATAATAACCCAAGAAAACAAAGGACCAAATGTCTGATTCTTATTTCTCCACAGCCCAGACCTTCATTCAAACAACATTTGAAAGCATGTTAATTTGGCTCATACCTGTCTGGCTTTCTGTTTCTAGAGTATGTCTTTGGCTGTCTACGTGTGAGCAAAATTTGGCTCTATTTCCATTGCAGAGGCATGATAATTCTGCATTGCCCTTTGGCCTACCAAACAAAAGCAAAAGCACTGCTATTAAAAATGCTGTGGCAAAAACTATTTGGGGAAGGGGAGCAGGTGGAGTTGTTGTAGAAGTTGGGAAGGGAGGGAAGGTAAACACAGCCACCTCCCTAGAATTACTGGATACTATCCTAAAAGCCCCAGCAGTTGTATTACCAAATCCTGACTCTGTTTTCACTTAATAAAGAAGCTCTAATTTCTTAGTAAAGGCTGTCCTTTCCAAAACTAAGGACAAACTAAACCTACAGTCTGTATGTGAAGGCAAATCCAAGCTAAAACAAAAACAAAAACAAATCCCAAATGAAGAAAACAAAAATGACAATATTGTGTTTAACAACACTGTGTTTTTCTAAATAATGAATGTAATACATATTTATTGTAGACATTTTAGAAAATATAGAAACAATTAAAACTGCCTGTAATTTCATCACTTACAGGGAAGCAGCTAACATTCTAGAAACTTCTTTATTTAATCACTTCTGCCACTCCATTTTCAATAGTGAGTGGGTTTACTTTTGTCTGCTAAGCCAAAGAGCAACATCTACTGTCTCCCTCAAATATTCAAGAGTGCCGATTAACACATATGTGTGCTGAAACTACTGAGGCCAGAGAAAGAACCATTAAAAGAGATCAGAGATTCAGAAAAAGGGCCTGTTACCTCCAGCCAGACTAGAAACACTTATAATTTACAGGGCATTGGATAGAGTTCTCAGGAATGTCTTGCCTCAGTGTGAAGAATAATTAGCTCTACACTAATTATTAGCTCTGCACTGAGCACTGCTCCAAACCCGCATAACAAATCATAAAGGACTTAGAAGAAAGTGGTTTCCAAAAAATTTGACTGCATCCCAGAACAAAGCTCAAGATTCATAGGAATACAAAGATACTCAGGACCCAACAAGGTAAAATTTGTGGTGTTTGGCAATCAGCCAAGATTACCAGGCATACAAAGAGGAGGAAAACATGATCAATAATGAGGAGAAAAGTCAATCAATCAAAACAGGCCGAGAACTGACACAGATGTTAGAATTGGCAGAGAAAGCAATTAAAACATTTATTATCACTGTATTTTTAAGAAGTTAGGGAGAAATATAAAAGATAGAAGATCCAAAGTGAAATTTTAGAGATGAAAACTACAATGTCTCAGAAAAACAATAACAAGACTGGATGGTAGTAGGAGCAGATTAAATGTTGTAGAAAAAAAGATTAGTGTACTTACAGGCATGGCAGCGGTAACTATCAACATAAACAGTGAGAAAATAATTGGAAAACTCAAAAAGAGCACCAGTACACTGTGGACAATTTCAAGTAGCCTAGTATACAAGTAATAGGAGTCCCTGAAGTGAGAGAGTAAGAAATAAAAAGTATTCGAAGTAATAACACTAAAAACGTTACAAACCTAAAACTATAATCACAGAAATCCAGTAGTTTAATGAAGCCTAGCACAAGATACACAAAGAAAAGTACATCCACGCATGTCATAACTGAATTGTTCAAAACTAATGATAAAGAAAAAAAAAATCTTAAAAGCAGCCAGAGGAAGAAAAGACCTATTGCATACAGAACAAAGACAAGAAACAGTGATATTGATTACTCATCAGAAAAAAAAAATGCAAACAAGAAAAAGTAAAACAATATATTCAAGGGCATGGTGGCTCACAACTAATCTCAGCACTTTGGGAGGCTGGAGCAGGTGGATCTCCTGAGATCAGGAGTTTGAGACCAGCTTGGTGAACATGGCAAAACCCTGTCTCTGCAAAAATACAAAAATTAGCTGGGCATGGTGGTGCCAGGCTGTAGTCCCAGCTACTTGGGAGGCTGAGACAGGAGAATGGCTTGAACCCAGGAGGTAGAGGTTGCAGTGAGCCGAGATTGTGCCACTGCACTCCAGCCTGGGTGACAGAGCAAGACTCTGTCTCAAAAAAAAAAAAAAAAAAAAAGAATTCCTAAGGCCCTTAAGAATGATATTAAATCTATTCTCCCTGTTCTCTATCAATAAAACAACAAAGCCTGGATGACAGCATATCTGTTTATAACATGGTTTACTGAATATTTCTAAGCCCATTGCAGAGACCTATGACTTAGAAAAAAAAGATTCCTTTAAAAATATTACTGATCATTGACAATACACCTGGTCACCCAAGAGCTCGGATGGAGATGTACAAGGAGATTAGTGCGGTTTACATGCCTGCTAACACAACACCTCTTCAGTAGGAAGATGGATCAAGGAATAATTTCAACTTAAATCTTATTATTTAAGAAATGCATTTCATAAGGCTATAGCTGTCATAGATAGTGATTCCCTGATGGCTCTGGGCAAAGTTAATTGAAAACCTTCTGGAAAGGAGTCACCATTCTAGATGCCATTAGAAATATTCATGATGCCTAGGAGGAGGTCAAAATAACAGCATGAACAGGAGTCTGGAAGAAGTGGATTCCAATACTTCTCGATAACTTTGAGGGGTTCAAAACTTCCTTCAGTGGAGGAAGTAACTGCAGATGTGGTGAAAATAACAAGAGAACTAGAATTAGAAGTGAACTCTGAAGATGTGACTGAATTGCTGCAATCTTATGTTCTAACTTCAACAGATAAGGAGCTGCTTCTTAACGGGTATGAAGAGTGTTTTCTTGAGATGGAATCTACAGCTGGTGAGCATGCTATGTTTATTTTTGAAATCACAATAAAGGCCTTAAAATATTACGTAAACTCAGCTGATAAATCAGTATCAGGGTTTGAGAGGATTGATTCAAATTTTGAAAGAAGTTCCACTGTGGGTAAAATGTTATCAAACAGCATCACTTGCTACAGAGAAATTTTTCATGAAAGTAAAATCCATCTATGTGGTTGGTCAACTTCATTGTTGTCTTATTTTAAGAAATTGCCACAGCCATAACCTGATTATTCAGCGGCCATCAACACTGAGGCAAGACCCTCTGCCAGCAAAGAGATTATGACTCACTGAAGGCTCAGATGACTGTTAGCAAATTTTGGCAATAAAATATCTTTAATTAAGGTAGGCAAATTGTTTCCATAGACGTAATGGCATTACACACTCGACTGCAGTGTAGTGTACATGTAACTTTTATGGAATCCAATAAATTCGTGTGACTAACTTTATTGTGATGTTTCATTGATTGTAGTGACATGGAATTGAACATGAAATATCTCTGAGGTATGCCTGCATATGTCTCATATCAAAACTTGAACAAATTGTATACTTTATATATAGTTTATTATATGACAATTATAATAAACTATAGTAAAGATATTAAAAATATGACCAACCTAAAATGCAAATCTGACCATGCCACTTTCATACTCAAAAGGCTTCAACAGTTACCTGTCACATACGGTCAAGGTCTGGCACAATATGGCACCACCTTTCCGCAGCCTCATCCTCTATTATCCCATGTCCTACCTTATAAGCATATTCTGCTCTGACATATTCTGCTTCTACACCATTTCATTGCATTGGTCATGCCATTCCTTCTGCTGGGATGTGCCCTCTTTTCTGATTTCTTTTAAATCCCTACTTCTCCTATAGAGTCTAGCTCAAATGTCTTCCCTACAAAACTTCTCTGGATTCTCATTATTACTTACATGTTTTTTCTTCTTCAGACTCCTTAGTATATGTACTTTCATCTCATGATTTCCGTCACAGCCTAATCTTAATTTCCCAGCACAGCGACTCGCATATGTTTAAGTTCCCAACAAGATTTTATTTTATTTTTTTGAGACAGAGTCTCGTTCTGTTGCCCAGGCTGGATTGCAATGGTGCAATCTTGGCTCACTGCAACCTCTGCCTCCTGGGCTCAAGCAATTCTTCTGCCTCAGTCTCTTGATTTGCTGGGATTACAGGGGCACACCACCACAACCAATGAATTTTTATTTTTAGTAGAGACCGGGTTTCACCATGTTGGCTAGGGTGGTCTCGAACTCCTGACCTCAAGTTATCTGCCCATCTCAGCCTCCTACTGATAAGATTTCAAAACTCTTTGAGGGCAATGACTCTTATTTATTAATCTGTATATCCCCTGGTACATAAAGCACAGAGACTTACTAGTAATAGGTGCTTTGTAAATATTTTTGAGTTGAATTTGGATAATTTATCTTCTAAGTGACTTCATCCTAAACTCAGCTTTTCTATCCACTCACCTACAAAGAATTGTATGAATATGAGCAAGGATATTTGAATACCATACATTGAGCTTCCCTCATAATAAGCCCTGGTGACAATGCAGGCAGCTTCTTGAAGTGCGAGTTTCATGTAAAATTAAGAAAATATTTTCGAGTCTTTGCTGGTCCATAGTTTGCTATTAACATCATCTTTGGCAATGAATGGAAAATTTGGCTCATGAGAATCAGAAAATGCTAAACTTCTAGACAGGTGAACTCTTATATAATAATCAACTGAATCCAAAAGTTCCTGCTACACTCTCCAAACCAAGAATCATTGTCACAGAATGTCACCCATTATCCCCACTAAAACTAAGTTCTGGGGCTGAGTGTGGTGGCTCACACCTGTAATTGCAGTACTTTGGGAGGCTGAAGAGGGTGGATCACTTTAGGCCAAGGAGTTTGAGACCAGCCCGGCGAACATGGAAAAACCCCGTCTCTACTAAAAATACAAAAATTAGGCAGGTGTGGTGGTATATGTCTATAGTGCCAGCTACTCAGGAGGCTGCGGTTAGAGGATCGCTCGAGCCCGGGAGGCTGCAGTGAGCTGAGATCGCACCATTGTACTCCAGCCTAGGCAACAGAACAAGACTCTGTCTCAAAACAAAACAAAACAAAACATGCACATAAAACCACCAAGTTCTGTATCCTGGTTAGCTTGAAGTGAACTGTGGGGCATTTTCAATAAAAAGATTTCTGCTTCTGAGATGATACCCCTCGAGTACCTGGACTCTTCTGAGGTTTGGGTTCCATGACGGCTGTGTGTCCTTGCCTGTCAAAAGGAAGGATCAGTGTTAGTCCTCAAGCAACAGTATATGTGTTTCATTGACTAGCCACTGAGTCCATGAGTATTGGGATTGTGCTCACGGATGTTGCTGAGACAGGTTATGAGTCTCCCCTTTCCATTCTTTCTTTAGTATTTCCCTCCCTGTCCCTGAGGCTGACGGTAGCCACGGTAACCGGGACTCATCCAAGCAGCTTGTCCTCACACGGTGGGTGGTTCTGCGGAGGTGTTGTCAAGATGACTGAAGGAGCTGTCTCCCTTGGACTTTCTCTCTTCTTGCTTCATAAGTGGCTTTGATAAGAGAGCCGGGGGATGGCAACACCAAGGAGAGGTAAGAACAGGGCAGAGGACAGGACGCCATGGAGACAGTGCAG